AGAGAGTAATAGGAAAATTCTTTCTTTTGAGACTTAATAAGAATTTATATATGTAAATAACACACACACATGTAAAAATCCCCAGTTTCGTGATTATAATTGTTTTGTTTTAGAAAACCAGCTCTATAAGGTATTTCAAACCAAAGCCACAGGAATGTAACAGAGCTTACAAAGGTTTTGAAGATTACTAAAAGCATGTGAAGATGACAAAAATTAATCATCTTCCTTTCCTAAATTCAAGCAGAAGTCTCATTTTCCAACATCACATACTATGATCACAAATGAATGTCCACTCAGAATATGATTGTGTCCAAGGCACCATTTAGCACTCAGTCTATATTTAAAAATAATCAAACCAAATATGACAACTAGAGAAAAAAATCATCTAAGCTTAAGAGATAAAAATTAATTAATTAAACGTGAGATATCCCCTCATATAAAAAAAGTTCCCTCCCCGACAAAATGTGCCAAGTTATTGATAACTCCCCCATAAGATTCAAAATATGAAATTGAGAAAACATCATTTTAACCACTTCATCCAAGGCTACTTGAGCTGGAAATCTAGAGTTCATGAAATTGACACAGAAATACAAAGTTTTACATATTAAACCAAGTGATAAAATGAATATACACACTTAAACATGGTCTAGTTATAGTTTTGGACTCAAATGCTACAATTTGCGTTTTTTTTCTTTTTAATAATTTCAACCTTATTTTATAAAGGTGAAACACACAAACATGATTATAAAACGTAGGCAGACTGCAATTTCCTACCCTCACTCTTCCCCTTTCCTCTCCTCTGCTTCTAAACCAGGCAGCTCATCATCTACTTCACAGACACAAAAACATACATTCATGGTGGTTGTGAGTATTATCTTTCAGGTTGAAGCTGCACACATTTATAGTATGCCTCAGATTTGGATTACATGACCTGTTCAGTTAACTTTGTAGATACGTCAATCTAAGCACAAGACATTTAATGCTTTTTGATTAACGTACAAGTAGAAGTTTTCTTAGTTTTAGAATTTGCCATATGACTCTCCGATTAATTTTTCACTCCAAATGAAGCTTTATAATCTTTATATACTAAGCAAAAGGTTTTTGTGATCTTGAGAGTAACTTGATCAATCTAGACATAAGTTCACTGAAGTATGAGACTAGATTGTACTGCCCTAAAAAATAAATCTTAAAGCACTTTTCTTTACATGGAAAGAGTACTGACTAGTTCACTAGTGTTTAGATAAGAAAACCATTAACAAAAGTGCTCAAATTAATCCTGTATATGTATAAAAGGAAAGATAAGAGAGAAGCAATCTCTAAACCAATAGCAAATAAGTTCACTCTCCTACCCAAGAAGAAAATGTGCAGAAAGTATAGAAATCAGCAATATTCCCATCCCATTTTCAACTTTTACCAAATTAGGTATTCTGTTCTTAATTGTATAACTGTGTGAACAACTGTTACATCAATATTTTCAATCTTAACTTATGACAATCATGTTTAGACCCCTATTAAAACTGAAATAACACACTTTTAAACATTTCAAATTTAACTAAAGAGAAGATAAAGACTAACACTTGTAAATATGTTACAGTTTAAAAAGTATCTTCATACACATCATGTGAAGAAGAGATGAGTATTCTCACTTACTAAGGAAAGAAACTGTAGCTTAGAGAGGGTAGATGACATGCCTGAAGTCAGCTACAATGGGAAAGATCTGAACTAGAAGCCCAAACTCTTAGTTCAACAAACACATTTTCATTCACTTCTTTAACTGAAGGACCCAGTTAACAGGTCATCTATTATTGATTCCTAATGTAACACTATAAATGGTCTGCTATAATAAAAAGAAATAGAGTTGACATATATTCACTGAGCATGCATCTCAAAACTAAATGAAACTATTTCATTTTAGTAAGCGTCCAAAATACTAATGAATTTGTAGTCACTACAAATTTGAGTGTATTTTTCAACGTTTAAAAATCCACTCATAGTTAGCTAACCTCCAATTTTTTAACTGAACTTACTTTAACATGACTGGGTTTTTTTTGCGGTACGAGGGCCTCTCACTGTTGTGGCCTCTCCCGTTGCAGAGCACAGGCTCTGGACGCACAGGCTCAGCGGCCATGGCTCACGGGCCCAGCCGCTCCGCGGCATGTGGGATCTTCCCGGACCGGGGCACAAACCCGTGTCCCCTGCATCAGCAGGTGGACTCTCAACCACTGCGCCACCAGGGAAGCCCTCCTTTAAAGGATTTTAAGACCACATATTCACTTGACAAAACAATATATATTAACTTTTACTACGTTTTTTTCAAATGTCCACTGTTTGAAGGTTTAAAAAAAAACTTGCAATTTTAGTAGTTTCTGTTGATTAATGAATGCTTAAACGGGCAAACTTTTTAATCATAATGCCCTCTGCTGGTAACTCAAGAGGTTCTACTATATTTATTACAGGAGGTTGGATTAATTTCTTTAACTGTGGTCCCCCACCAACTGCATATAAATCTCTTGGAAAGCCTGTTAAAAATACAACTTTCCTCCTCTACAGAATACCTACAGATACTGTGATTTCAGTAAGTCTGGGATAACATCTAGAACTCTTATCTTCCCCAGCAAATAAGCAGAGAATCGCTGGTTTGGTTAGTTATACCAACATCCGACTTTCAAAGCACAATAACTTTATGAAAAGCTCTGGGAAGGCATTATTATGCCTCTTTTATAGATGAAGACTGAGGCTCAAGACAATTTACTCCAGGTCACATTATAAAAAGTAGCAGAACCACTAACATTTTCTTATTCCTGGAAATATGTACACTTACAGGAAAGATTAACAAAACTGAATCAGCCTTAAAATTCAAGTATTTACTTCCTTAGATACAGTTTATGAAAGCAGTACATGCTATACCTTCTCAACCATGACTCCACATGAGACTCACCAGGGGAGTTTATAAAAATGCATACACCCAGGTCCCACCCCCAGAGAATCAGATTGAATAGGTTTAAGGCAGCACCCAGCCATTGTTCTCTTTTTTTCTTTTTTAAGCTCCCAGATGATTAGAATTGGCCACCAGGGCTGAGCACCACTTAGGCCCATGGTGCTCAGCCTTTAGCCTGCACAGAATCACCTGGAGGACACAGACTGCAAGGCCCTACCCTGAGTTTCTGATTCAGGAGGTCTGGTAGAGTTTGAGAATTTGCATTTTTAACAAGTTCCAGGTGGTGATGATGATGCTAGTTCTGTGCCCACACTCTGAGAACACCTGGCTAAGCATAATGGCTAGTGGGTCTCAACACTGCCTACACATTAGAATCACCTGGAGAAATTTTTAAAATCCTGATAGCGAGGCACACCCTCAGACCAATTCCATCAGAATCTCTGGGGTGGGGTCGAGGAAACAATATGTTTAAAGGTTCTAAAATTTAGAAGCTTTCTCTACAGCAAAGTCTATAAAAGCTATTAATGGATGTATAGTGATTTTCTGAGTGGGTAATATAATATGCAATATTTCTGAAGGTTTTGAACCAGAAACATTTCTGTCAAGGCACATAACTGACGGCTCTGGATGTGTGAAATACTAGCCTACAGAATAAAGTGGAAACTGCTTTATGCAGCCTATAAGTCATTCCCCTCCAACCTCGATCCAGTCTCATCTTTTCCCAGACTCTCCCTGGCTCCACTGCCTGTAATCCTATTAAAATATCAATAACTCTTCATTGCAATTATCTGTTTCAATGTGACTGCACTATTTCTACAAGCTCATTGGAGTCAGAGTTTGCATCTCATTTATCTTTGATTCCCCAGAGCTAGCATGATGCCAAGCACAGGCAGTGCTCAATAAACATTTGTTGAGTAATTGAATTCAGACTAATATCCCTACTTTCTGTAGAAAAGGTAATGTGTCAAGCATGGCTTTTATGCAATGTAGCATGTGCAACAGCTTTTACATAGCTAACATCAGAACTGAATATTTCTTCTTCATAGAGCTACTCTTGTTTAATATTGCCTTAAATAAAATAAGAGACTACATGCACTTAGAGATGATACTTGTCTCGGGATCTGTTACATCTTCAATTCATTAGTAACTTAAGAGTGGCAAAACGTTTTGGTAATTTTTTATTCTAAGAATCATATTAGCCAAGTGATCCAAAAAGAGGTACAAATGCTTTGTGCATTAACAACGAGAAGAAGTTTCCAAAAACCCGTAAAGAGAAATGAAAACAAAACCAAAAGCTGCTATTGTTTTAAAAATCCAAGTTTTTAAAACTTGGACATGCTAAAATCAAATCGGTTTTGATTTTGTTTTTTTAATTTATGAAGAACAGTATTCTTCTGTCAGCAAGCTGCATGCCAATTCAGGTCAAGCAACTTTGGTATATAAAGAAAAAATTGCAAGATTAAGCTTAGTATTCTTCAGTGCCACAAAAGAAAACATCTGACTTCACACTACACAGGTGGTATGGTCCATTCTATACTTTTCTGGAACTATATTTTCTATATACGTCACAAATATTTAAAATAATCACATATGTATTAAGTCTCAAAGCATCATAAAACTAGGTTGCTTCTCAAACTTTTTCAGTTTATGGTACTGTGAGACTGTATTGGATGAAATCAATCATGTTTACAAACATTAACATATATTTGTTTTTAAAGGGCAGTGATAATTACCTTAACGCATATTTTTCATTCAACAAGTAATTACTGAGTGCCCGTTATGTGTCAGGCACTATTCTTGTAGCTATAGTTATGCAATAAAGAAAATAAAGTTCCTTATGAAGCATATAATCTGGTCTATTTTTTCCTAGAAAGGAAAAAAGTGGAAACATTCGTGTGGTCCAAATTAGAAACAGGGATTCTTTGCAAGGGAGGGAAAAAAAGTTAAATCTAAAAGCCATTAGTTTATAAAACTTGCTGGAAGTCTCCCAGCAACTCTGAAAAAGCTGATAAACCTAAAAGAAAGATGAAAGTAATAAACTTTAAAATTAGTTAGTATTTACCTCTGAATTCCTTCAAGAATAACCTTAACAGCTTCCATTAACTTTTGAAGATATACAAATGCTTCTTCAAATGATGCTATTTTTGAAGACATCAGAGCTGAATTTGAGCCCAATCTTTGAAACACATCCATGCTAAAATAGAGACAAAAATGCTCATAGGTACACATGCATATTTAGTGTAATTCAAGTATTTCGATTTCTAATGTATAAAATTAGGTAATATTTAAAACTCCTCTCTCATAATGCTAAACTATTTAAATTAGAAATAAAAGACTAACTTGTGAATGTCCAGGCTACCATTCAGGCAAAAGATATGGATCAACAACTATACAGGTCTAATCTAAAGTAGTACTGTAAAAGCTATGTGAATAATGTTTCACTCTAAGAGACCATAAGAGATGGAAGGGAATTAATAATATCAATTTATATTCAAGTCAGTACATAAGTACTGACAGTACTCCTGTACATAAGAATGAAGAAAAAAAATCAGACATCAGATTTAGAGTTTGCTGAAACTGGATGTTATAAGTGCTCATATACTTTACTCTGGTAATTCCAATTTTAGAAATCTATCACATATTAATAATTATTCATAACTGGGTAACAATTAGTAATCACCTAAATGTTCAACAATATTTTAAAAAGTGTTAATAAATAGTAAATTAGCCACCTGATGAAAGACCAAACAACTATTAAAATGATGCTTATGCCATCTATGAAACAGAAAAATTAAGGTATACAAAATGTACTCGAATAATAGCAACCATATAAAAAATCAAAATATATACTGTATGGGCTGAACAGTGTCCCCCCAGAATTCATGTTCACCCACAACCTGAGAATGTGGCCTTATTTAAAATAGGATCTTTGCAATTACTTAAGTTAAAATGAGTCATTCTGGATTAGGGTGGGCACTACCCTATGTGAAGACAAAGGCAGAGAGTGGGGTGATATATCTACAAATACTGCTGGCAGCTACTAGAAGCTAGGAGACAGTCATGGAATAGATTCTCCCTCAGAACCTCCTAAAAGAACCAACTCTGCAGACACCTGGATTTCAGACTTTCTAGCTTCCAGAACTGAGTGAATAGATTTCTGTTATTTTATTTTATTTTTCAATTTTTTAAATTGAAGTATAGTTGATTTACAATGTTGTGTTAATTTCTGCTGTACAGCAGTGATTCAGTTATACATATATGTACATTCTTTTTTTATATTCTTTTCCATTATGGTTTATCATAGGATATTGAATATAGATCTCTGTGCTATATTGCAGGATTCTGTTGTTTACCCATTCTATATATAAAAGCTTACATCTGCTAACCTCAACCTCTTTTAAGGTTGTGCATAGGTGCTCTAATAATAGTTTTATAAAAATTATTTTTTTTATTTTATAAAAATTGTGCATAGAGCCTACCAGATCTTCACATGAGCATCTCTATGTGAAAGGCTCAAACATGAATATGTTGAGAAGTTCTACAGTGACTCTGGTACACAACCAGGCATGGGCAACAATAAAGTAGTCTTTAAAAACTATATACCGATAAAATAATATAAGCGTTTTCCACTTACTGAAGTACTATAATGTAAAGTCTATTATCCAGAAATTACCAAGAACTCTGTAACATCCAACACAAATGTATGTATATTATAGGTCAGTTCTAAGGTACATAAAGTACTCAAACATTTTCTAAATGAAAGGAACATTAAAATATCTTAGATATTGTTTTAAACTACTTTATTTTTTTATTTTTATTTTTTTTTGTGGTACGCGGGCCTCTCACTGTCGTGGCCTCTCCCGTTGCGGAGCACAGGCTCCGGACGCGCAGGCTCAGCGGCCATGGCTCACAGGCCCAGCCGCTCTGCGGCATGTGGGATCTTCCTGGACCGGGGCACGAACCCGTGTCCCCTGCATCGGCAGGCGGACTCGCAACCACTGCGTCACCAGGGAGGCCCTAAACTACTTTATTTTTAAAGTGATCATTTCTGGCATATACAACTTTCTGCTGCAAAAATATCTGATAAGCCACAACATTAAAAATACATTAAGACTGGACAAAACAAACAAAACCTTTGCTTTATATGAAAATACAAAATTTTAAATGTTTTCTTTACCTCATGTCAGATATCGTTATTTCTTTAGGATAACAGACTATATATTTGTTTGAAAAAGACTTTTAATTGTTGTCAAGGACTAAAAATGGGTCCCAAATCTATGACTGATTGAGAATAGATGTTTAAGTGGAGTGCTAATATTACTTTGCTGCTCTTGTAGACAACTAGAACAGATAAATGATCTTAACCCAAAACAACAAACTGGGCCCTAGAGACAAAATCATACTACAAAGCATATAGTAAGATTAACATATTAATTATATAAAGACTATGGGCCTGGGGAGAAGTGTGGAAGGGAGCGTCGGCCTACTTTAAAACCAGTTGTTTTCAATAATTTTTTAAGTTACTCTAGCAGCAGCCTATTTAAAGACTACTCACAAATGGTCTCTATCTTTTCATTTTACCAAGACCATAATACTTCATGTGTATGAAATAAAAGTACTTCTCCGTTTTAAGTAAAAGTATTTATCTTTCTTTTTAAAAAATTTTACATGAATTTTCCCTTATCCAGACTGATGTTTTCTTTACATTATTTTAAATCTGATTAAGGCTTTGTATCCTGCTAATTCGTTTAGCTAATCTTGGCGACTATTCATTGGTTTTGACATATAGGCAATGATTCTCATCAAGGTTTCACATCTGAATCACCTGGAGAGAAGCACTAGTTCAGCTTCACTTCAGTCCTACTGAATCAGCACTTCTTAGAACCTAGGCATATATATTTTTTAAACTCTCCAGATAATTGTGATGTGCACCCCTAGTTAAGCATCACTGTTTCTAAGGGTACAAATTTGACAAAAGGCCCTCTTAAGATAATCTAGTACAAACTATATTGTTAAACTCACAACCCAAACACTAACTATTTAATGAATAAGAGTAATGATGGAAAATCCTAAAACCCAAAAATTCTTGGAAATTTAGTACCTGTTTTGATATATTGTAATCCAAACATTCTCTAGGACAGACCAGATCTCTTGATGCCTGCTGGGTTGGGGAAGATGAGAACCTGAGGAAACGGTGATTTCTTGGTTATTAGATTTCATCAAAGAATTATCTTCTTGCCTTTTACCCGCTGTATTTTTTGAAGGATTTTGCTTAAGTTTTGCCTTGACCTGGGGAAATAAGAATTACATAATATGCAGCTAGTCCTTCACTAGTAAGTGAGAGAAAAAGAATGCTAATTGTTGCTTACAAATGTTCTAGCTTTCTGGGAAGTGCTGATTCTTCTTTGTCCTTGATTATGTATAGAATATTCCCAGAATAGCATCAGAGGTAAAAAAAAATTTCCTTTTCCATTTATATCAAACAATATTTCCAATATACTTATTACAGAGTATAGAAGTAGAATTCTACTTGTAAGGGATGAAGAAGTAAGTGAGCAAAGAAATGGAAACAACTGTTATAGACTGCTCTTTTAAGAAGTTTGGTAGTTGATGGAAGGAGATGGTACAGTAAATAGCATGACCAATTAAAAGTATTTAAGAATAGATCTGAGCATATTTTTAAGCAGGGTAAAAGAGTGATACTACTGGTTCAAGTGATTTTTTTAAAAAATCACTTTGGGGGAAAATATTAACTTAGGTGAAAAATATATCTGATAGAATGGAAAAAAAAGTTTTAACTATGATTTTAACTTGGGTTTTTCGACTTGGCACTACTATAACTTCTTTGTGAACTTAAATAAAATCTCTAGGTTTCCTTTGTTGATAAAAGTAATGATTTCAAAGGTTAGCTTCATGGATTATTCATGGTTTATTAGTTTCATGTTTATCAAATTAAAAAAAAGGAAATTTCCAAAAGTGTAACAGTTAATATTTATTTAGCATTTCTCATGTACAAGAATTTTCTAAGAACTTTACTTATAATTTTCTTAAAACTTTATATATAGATAGAAAGTTAACCATCACAATTACATCTGTGATTATCTATATTTTATAACTGAGGCACAGAAAGGATAAGTAACTCATGCAAGGTCACACAGATGCTAAGAGGCATGAACAAAATTTGACCTTCAGTAGTCTATGAATGGGGTTATAATCTCTCTCCAACTATAAAGAGAATATTTCCCTTTTATTTCTTTCGAGGCAGGAAGAAAATTGCCTGTTTACATTAATTATGAACTTAATAAATACACATGAATGGAAAGACGTATTTTGTTCTGAAATAAATGTGTTTACTCACCACATAGTGCTTTTCCTCAGCTCTCAAACAGTAGTGTATACAACTATGCAAATGGATTGCTTTTTCAAACACTTATATAGCACTTACTATGTGCTAGGCACTAAGTGCTCTACAAATATTAATTTATTTGTCATGAAAGGTCTGAAGCAGTGATTATTATACTCTTTTTACAAAAGAAGGGATTAAGGCTCAGAGAGGTTAAATAACCAGAAGGTAAAAACACAACTAGTCAGCATGGGAAGTCTGAGGCACACAAGCCTAAAGTTTATTAACAAGACTTATTTTAATTATTCTATCTCCTGGAAGAGCAAGTCTTTTTTTTTTATGGTGGTTAAAAGGCTTATAAAAGAAAAAAATATATATCCTTTTCTCCACCCCATCTATACAAAAATCTGGAAAATGATGCTACTTAACTTTCCATTTTTGTTTCTCAGAAGCAAACAAATAATATTTCTCTTTTCCAGATTTTCTACACTTGGTAAATTCAGATACAGGGGGATTTTTTTTATAGTTACTATATTTAGATATCCTATTCCTGGAGGTAATCTACTTCTTGTTGCTCATGTTAGTGACACATGACTAAGTATTCAGGTCACATATCAAATCTAATGTATTCTACAAAACAAAACCCTATTGAAAGTGTATTTTAAAAGCCCAAGCTAAATCACAATGTTCCTGGCTGACTTGGACAATGAATTGTTTCAAACGTGAAAATAAAGCAACACTTGAGAGCTCTAACTGTGGAAACAACACAGGTTGTTTCAAGCAATCAGACTAATGCCAAGTGTTGAGGGAAATGCAATAATGAGGATACTAGATTCTTTGCCACTTGCCTTCTTGAAGCTTACCAATGTGACAACTGGAAAATCAGGATCCAAGAAGAAATAACTTACTAAGTAATAATTCAATATTTTTAAAAGGGGGCAATATTTCTTAGGCATACCATTATGTGATAAACAACACTAAATTTTAACATCACATTTTCATGGTAACTCCCATTGCTAGGTTTCCAATTGATGAAAGAATCTTGATATTCATTAACATTTTTATCTCAGTCAATCCTAATTTTTTTTATTCTCAATAATTTTAATTCAAAAACTGCTAAGCCTGTGAGTATCTTGAACTTTTCATCTTGTTCACCATGTCTGTTTCAGTAAAGATGGGGTTCAGGGCTCAGTTCTGTGAGGGAAAAGGATAACGTATTTTCCCCTACACAGTTCAAGTACAGTACTCAAGCTGCAACTCCTACATTTCCAGGTCCATTCTTCCCTACTAAAGGTTCTAAAAGTCACACTTGCCATAGAAAAATATAACTACTGATGTTTTGGTCATCTTAAACCAAAAGATCATTCACCCCTTAAATCAATTATTTCCTCAAGAATTATCATATATTTCCTATGAGTTTATCAAAAAGATGCTTCTTTCACTGTGTAAGATACTCTCTTAAGCAAGTAAGTTCTTTCCTCACCAACTATGACTAAGTTTAATATCATCTAATCCTTTCATTACTTCATAAGTAGTGGGATCTATGTTAGCAGAAAAAATCACTGAGAAAAACCTGGCCAATAACTTGAAGAAAAAAAGAATATGATATATATATACTAGATGAAAGTACCATTAATAGCCTACCTAGTAATTGTGATGCTGAGTTTTTTGAGCTATTTCGGGCATATAAACGATCCAGAATTTTATAGATTTGAAATTAGAAGACTGTAGAAATACAGTATTACCAGGGACAAAACTCCCATTGTCATTTTAAAGGGGCAAAAAGGCCATCAGTGCTAGGTGGACTGCATAAGACTCACATGAGGAGACTTGTTAAAAAATTGGTAGGTCGATTGGCAAGTTTGAATAGGGTCTGCAGGTTAGATAATTATGTCAATATTAATTTTCTGATTAATTATACTAGTTACATAACATACCCTTAATCTTTAGGATATAAATATATGGAAATATTTAGGGGTAAAGGAGAATGATATCTGCAACATACTCTTAAACAGTTCAGAAAAAATATTTTGGTTAGATAAGTAGACAGGTAGATAGACAGGGAAAACAATAAAGCAAATGTGATAAAATATTAACATTGGGAAATCAGGGTAAAGGATATATATGAGAATTCTTTATATTACTCTTGTAAATTTTTTGTAAGTTTGAAACTATTTCAAAATAAAACATGAAACAAGAACAAAAACATTACTGAGTACCACTGCCAGAAGTTTTATTCAGTAAAATTTGAGAGGGCCTTGGCATCTGCATGTTTAAAAAATTTCCAAAGTATCTTGATGCATGTTGTGATCCACTGGTCAGGAGCACTGAAAAATGAGTAGTCAGCAACAATGCATAGCTTTCTTCTATTCATAAATGAAATAATATAAAATCCCAACAACTGCTGTGACACTGCTTCCACAAGAGGATGTGTTTCATAACTTGTAATAAAGATTGCTTACTCGCCATTCAATTCACTTAATATTTACTTTTAGTATGTTAGAATAAGTTAAAATCTTTTACCTACTGTTGTCTGCCCAATACATTTTTAGAATGCATGTGATTAGCTACTCTAAGTGGCATTCCAAAGGTATCTTACCTCTATAAATGTTTGGAGTAGTTTGTTTACTTGAGCAAAGGCCTGTGGAAGAATACCATCATAATTTGACCTTGTACTGAAAGCATGTAGCAAACTTTTAGAATCCTGAAGCAGCAATTTCACTGTTGTAAAATCCACTGCATTGTTAGCTGGTGACGAAATTAAGAAAAAATATGTAAGAATGAGTATACAACACAAAAATGTTTTTGGAAAACCAATGTAATAATAATTATGAAATTTAAGAAGTTTATGCATTTACACCTATAGGCTACTCCTAATTTATCTCTCTTGTGTAAAAAGCAACAATTAGACTTAGTTTTAGACAAAGTTCTTGGGGTTGATTCTGGTAATCTGTACAGCCTTCCCTCCATATCCACCAGTTCCACATCTATAGATTCAATCAACCATGGATCGAAAATATTTGGCAACAAAGTTCCATCAAATTCCAAAAAGTGAAACCTGAATTTGCTGTGCACTGGCACCTATTTACATAGCATTTACACTGTATTACGTATTACAAATAATCTAGAGATGATTTAAAGTACACAGGAGAATGTGTGTCGGTTATACACAAATACTACACCATTCTATATAAGGGACTTGAGCATTGAGAATTTTGCTATCCTTGAGGGTCCTGGATACTGAGACTATATTCAGATTCCAGAACGTCCCTCAACAAGCTCAACTTCAAAGTAAAAGTAAAATGTGCAACATACTATATATAAAATAGACAAACAACAAGGTCCTACTGTATAGCACAGGGAACTATATTCAATACCCTTTAATAAACCATAATGGAAAAGAATATGAAAAAGAATATGCATATATATATATATATAACTGAATCACTCCGCTATATACCAGAAACTAACACAACATTGTAAATCAACTATACTTCAATTTTAAAAAAGTAAAAGAAAATGAAAGAACATTAAACTCTTCAGAAAAGAGATAATCACCAAACGAGTTAAACTACAGATTTTCAAAACTGAGGTTGTTTGTATACATATTACTGTTGAGGTATCAGAGAGCCACATTTTGGCGGTAAGCACTTAAATTATATGCAGAACCTTTCATAATCAACTCAGTTATCATGTAGTGATTTACCTTCAAACTTCATTACATGAAATGTAATACTAGATTTATTGAAAATGTGTCCTCTCTGGACACAATATAACCTCAGCAAAAAGTAAGCAATTTGGGTAACAGTGAGCTGTGGGCAAGAGACTCTAGTAGAATTTTTTTCCCCCACAAATTAGCAAAGTGAGTTAATCTACAAGTAATAATTTAAAGATATAACAATTTTCTCTCAAGGAACTAAAATCGCCTACATTAAATTCTCAAACCAATTGGGAGAAGTGGTGTCAATAATTTCAGATTCAAAAAGTTATGAATAATGAAGTTGAAAAACTTTCTAATGTCACCAAATTCAGAACAGAAAAAAAATTATTTCTATTATTAAAACAGAATACTACATAATAGATTTTGAAGGCATTTAAAATAACCATGCTACAATGTGTTTGTTTTGTTTTCTTTTAATGCTCACAGCTTCAGAAATTCTGTTATAGTCTGAAACACTGGCATGGTTTTTCACTGGCACTATGAGTTAAAAAAAATAAAGTTTCTCTGTATAACTTACACAACAAGTATTTGCTTGTGAAATATTGAAAGGTTAAGTGAAAATAAAAAATAGATTTTCATAATTAATTACACAAATTCAGAAATTCTAATTTAATGTGATGGTTATAGCCAAGCTTCTGGCTTCCCTTTTATCAAGCAAACAACCAGTGTATCTCCTTACAAAACACTTCTAGTTATTTTATTTATTTATTTTTTTGTGGTACACGGGCCTCTCACTGTTGTGGCCCCTCCCGCTGCGGAGCACAGGTTCCAGACGCGCAGGCTCAGCGGCCATGGCTCACGGGCCCAGCCGCTCTGCGGCATGTGAGATCCTCCCGGACCGGGCACGAACCCGTGGTCCCCTGCATTGGCAGGTGGACTCTCAACCACTGCGCCACCAGGGAAGCCCCTAGTTGTTTTTTAAATCAATGACTAGTTTAAATTCCTGTGGGAAAAGAAGAGATGAGAGATGCTACAGAAGACAGAATGTAGGTAAATCTCCTCAGAAGAAGAAACTGGGCACAACTTCTCTTAAGGGTGCTTCTCCAGTGTAGGCTATGTTTGGTAAGGCTTACATCCTTGAATTAATCATTTGATTTCCGTCTTACAAGAATTCTTTACTAAGATTATGGGCAAAAGTATAATAACAATGATCAATTTAGTACCTAGACACAACATAAAATCTATATAGTTGAAATAATGCTTATATAAGATCAATAATTATTTAGGTTAAAGTTAATAGGGACTAAAAAGTCAGAAAAAGCTACTACTCACCTTCTACACAATTTTCTACAAATTGACCTAAAGATATATGCTTGGCATACTGTAGTTAAACACATGTATAATTCAACAGCTGAGGGTACTATTAAAAGATTATAAACAAAATCATAAACTGTGATTTTTTCTAATTCAAAATTATTTTAGAGCAGAAGGCATTTTTATAATTCTATTATGTGTTCTCCACAAGTCAGTAAATATTAGGCATCAGATTCTTTGAGATCAAGGATCAATAAATTATGCACACAATAATCCTCAAAATGAGTTTTTAGCAAAAGGAGCAGTTATTGTCTCTTCAGTTTTCTTGTTACTAGAAAGAAATAGTTAGAGCTGCTGACTACTACCTCTAAGCTGTGTGTAAGAGCAAAACAGTGCCCAGCCCTGGAAAAATGGACAAATGGAAGATGGCAACTAGATATCCCATTTTTGAAAATCTTGTTCAAGATCCCATTTTTGAAAATCTTGTTCAAGATGATTTATGGACTTTTTTTTTTTTTTTTACGGTATGAGGGCTTCTCACTGTTGTGGCCTCTCCCGTTGCGGAGCACAGGCTCCAGACGCGCAGGCCCAGCGGCCATGGCTCACGGGCCCAGCCGCTCCATGGCATGCAGGATCTTCCCAGACCGGGGCACGAACCCGTGTCCCCTGTATCGGCAGGCGGACTCTCAACCACTGCGCCACCAGGGAAGCCCTATGGACTTTCTCTTTTGATAGAACCAACTAAATTATGCCCCTAGTAAAAGATATGGACAATGTCTCTATATATCTTGTAAAAATGCTTTGGAGACATGTCCAGTATGTCATTCCATATATATATTCCTTATATAATAATACCCCAATAAATATTTTCCATAGTTAAAGATCAATGCCTGGAAAGTGTGTCTTTTTTAAAAAAATCAGTAGCTTTTAAAAATAGATATTCATAAAAATAGATATTCATATATATGTCATAAGGTATTGACTTACATCTTATGACTTATTGCATATATAAGTCATAAGGTATTGACTAGGCACTTTAAATTCCCTGGGGAAGTTTTTAAAGATATAAAATGTTTTCAAAGAGTTTATACTTGAGGAGAGAGAGAGAACTGGCATACCCCTCCATAGAATGTTTTTGTTTTATCTTAGTTTCCAGGAAGCTTAGTGTCAAAATCTGTGTTCAATTATTTTCACATGTCTTATAGTAAAACTATCTTTCTTATTCTTCATTACCTGGCTCTTGTACCTTAAAGCCTAGCTTAAAACCTCCTGAACTCAGGTGGTCATGTAAAGGCTCACAAATACCCAGTTATTTTTTTAAAAGTAGACAGGATATAACTAATACATATAATAATAAACAGAATAGATCACTTCACGTTAGAAGTTTAAGAAAAGTCAAGAACCAACTGAACATCCTAACAATGGTTATACTTTGCTTTTTAAAGGTATAGCAAGACAAATCTAGTTTTTCACTTTGGACAAATCACTTACCCTCTCAAGTCTTGTTTCCTTAATCATATCAATAAAACACAGACTTTAATAACATTAGACCAGTGCTTTTCACATCTTTTGCTTCTTAGCAGAAAATCTTTTTAAATCATACATGGAATCTCTATATATAAACAAACAAAAGAAAGATGAATGGCTAAAGTTGGGGTTGAGGGCCAAAGGCCCACTATTATCAGGCTCCCCATCAACCTTTCCACCTCCAATCTGTGGCAACTCCAGAGGCACTTCAAGAAGGTTCTGTGCAACATAGTTTAAAAACTACCAACTAAGTGGTTGATTTTAGTCTTGTCTTGGTTCTAAAATTCACTATGCACCAAAGCCAAAGGTTTCCTATTCCTTATCCATGTATTTTAAATAGAAACCTTTGATAAACTATTTTTAAAACTAGTACATGAAATGTAGTCAAAGTTTGTGTGTTGGGCTTCCCTTGTGGCGCAGTGGTTGAGAGTCCGCCTGCCGATACAGGGGACACGGGCTTGTGCCCCGGTCCGGGAAGATCCCACATGCCGCAGAGCGGCTAGGCCCATGAGCCATGGCCGCTGAGCCTGCGTGTCCAGAGCCTGTGCACTGCAATGGGAGATGCCACAACAGTGAGAGGCCTGCGTACTGCAAAAAAAAAAAAAAAAAAAAAAAAAAAA